TGTAATTTCTGAATTTAAATTCATTATGATATTTTTTGTGGGGCACAAAGACTGAATACATTTTTAAAAACACTAATCTTATCTTAATCATTAATCTTAGGGTGACCATACGTGCCATTTTCCCAGGACGCGTCCTGGCCAGGATTTCTATATTGCCTAAAATATCTAGGTTTTGGCTTTGTTTGCGTGCAGACCGATCGACATCAAAGTACCATACAGATGGTTATGCTTTCGAAACGCTCTCGAGGTACTTTGATGTCAAACACTGATCGGTCTGAGCCGCACTGCTTTTAAGTCGAACACACCTAATATGTACGCGTAATTGCATCGCTTTGACCGTAGATCCCACCTTCTCACACGCCATGATTGGTCCATTATGTACAATGCTTGCATGTTATTGGTCAAACTACTTTTCGATCATTACCTTCAGCAAGCATGAAAACATGTTACCTCTATGAGTTCTTGTATTCTGTGTTTAATAAAAATAAATAAATAAATAAAATAAACAACAACATGAAAACAGGAAAACAAAGCCAAAACAAATCCTGGCCAGGACGCGTCCTGGGAAAATGGCACGTATGGTCACCCTAGATAAAATAAAAAAAATTTTTTTACCAGTCGGGGGTTTTGGAGTAGCCACTGCCGAACAGGTTCCTCAGGGAGCGTGGAGGAGAGATCTTAGCATCTCTGGAGTAGAAGACCATGCAGATGTCCTTGGTAATGATGGCAGGCTGGATGCAGTGATCAAGCTGCAGGGGAGTGGTTAGCACATATTTCAATACTATATACTGTTTAACCTCTTTCTAAAGAACCAGTCATTTAAAAAGAGTCGAGGCTGACCTCAAGATAAGCTGACAGGGTCATGAAAATCTTCTCTCCGTAGGGAGTGACACGGTTCAGCAGGAGAGAGTTGTGCAGGGAGCTGTCCCAGACAGCCTCGAATCGGTAGAACGTCCTGAACAGGAAGAAGTACATTTGATTTTAGGCTTCAGAAACAATATCCATGGAATGATATTTTAGATATTTACTGGTGCTGAATTGATTAATTGCGTCGTACACTACGTGTTTGAGTATGGATGTGCTTAAAGACAACATGAAATGAGATTCACAACTTTACTTCTGTAATAAGACATTTCTGAGAGAAACAGAATATTCAATGAGAGGGCAGGATTTATCCATTGGGAATTGACTAGATCATGAAAAGTGACAACTGTTCAAAAAGTTTGGGGTCTTTTTTGTTAATCAAACAGATACTTTTATTCAGCAAGGATGCATTAAAATAATCATGTGTGACAGTAAGGTCTTTGTTTCAAAAATATATTTTAAATAATTAGTGTTCTTTTGAACTTTCTATTCATCAAAGAATCTTTAAAAAATCTATTATGTTTCCTTAAAAATATTAAGCAGCACAACTGTTTTCAACATTAGTAATAATATGGAATGTTTCTTGAGCAGCAAATCAGCATATTAGAATGATTCCTGAAGGATCATGTGACGCTTAAGACTGAAGAGTAATGATACTGAAAATTCAGCTTTGCATCACAGGAATAAATGGCATTTTAAAATATATTACAACAGAAAACAGTAATTTTAAATTATAATAATATTTCACAATATTACTGCTTTTATTGTATTTCTGATCAAATAAATGCAGAAAAAAATCTTGCAGACCCCAAAACTTTTAAACAGTAGCATACATGAGAGATTATTAAAATGAACAAATTTTATTTTTACTTCCTTTAACATTTAACACTCTTCATTTAACATTCACCAATGAATTATTCACAGTAATACCAAAAAAATGAACTAAGAAAGTAAATAGGCTCGATTTTGATTTCATGCTGACTTTAAACTGCACACGGCAGTGAATATCTGTAAGCATCAGGCTATCACAATAAACACTTTAGTTATGCTGCCTACAAACTTTCAGCTAACAGATGGTGCTAATGGACAGGCAATCTCCTCTAACACTGTGAAAAACAGGAGGTCTAATACCAGCTGCATCACGTGGTGTTGGGAGATCTCTGTGCCTAAATAGTTTGTTGATGTGTTCGAGTCACATAGCGATGAACACAACACAAGAGTGTTGACAGGTGCTACATTATTAGTTTTCTGCTGTGAGCTTGAAGCAGTGTGCGTGTGTGTGACTCAGGACTACAGCACAATGATGACTATAAGCAAAGGCACACGATTTATATGAACAGACATTGAGACAGAGAGAAACGGAGAGATTGGTGCAGGTGACTCATCCTCAAATATCCTTGTATCTTTTTCTCCACTCACTCACCTCCCTCTCTTGTTCTTATTTCACTGTTTAAATGGCAGATAAATGCATAAAGGCTTGCCTGCGTCTGTATCTAGACTCATCGATTCAGCTGCTAACAAGCCAAATTTAGTAATATAGTGAATGCAGAGCATAATTAAATTTAATGTCACACCTACAGTGCATTCATTTTCTTTGATTAAAGAAATGTGGTGGCAAAAGCTCATCTACTTAATAGTTGTAAAGTGAGGTGATACATGCAAAAGAAAGGATTTCAAAAAAAAAAACTTTTTCCTACTAACTTTTACAAATGAATTTTTTTTTTAAATTTTTTTTACCAAACTTAAAAAAAAAAAAAACACACTATAGTAATTTTACATTATCATTATCAAAGGTCATTTTCTTAGTGACATCGAAAACATGATAGATTTCATATAATATATTAATTTTCTTATAATTTTCTTATATATTATATAATGGGCCATTTTATTTTAAAAAGGGCAAAATCTATATTAATTGTCATGCATATAAAAGCAAATATTATATAAAATAACCATATGACATACTATAGGTTCTCAACAAGGTTGAAAACAAAATAAAAAAAAGTTACAAAATTTTTTTGTGGGGTATAAATCACTTCATATTTAAATTTGTTAAATGTAATAATATCATGCCAATTTTCATATTTCAAAAGTTTAAATTGTTCAGGGCCAATAGAATAAAATCTTGATTTAGCATTTAAATTTAGAAAATGTCATTTTGATTATTAGAAAAAAAATCTCTTTTGCAAATTCACCTTAATTCATACTATCATATAGAATGAGTTCAGAGAGAAGCAGAAAAACAATGACACGGATACATAATTTTGCTACCGTTACACCTACAGATCACAAATGTCTCGTAAAGCACTTTAATGGTAAAAATGCTTTATGAGGTGGTTGATACCTAGCTATATCGCTATCAATACAAAGGCTGAGCAAAACCACGAGTCCAACCGCAGCAGGAAAAGGATGAGAACAAAAAGAGAGACAAAACAAGCAGAAACAGTCAGGCAACAGAAATAATCACAAATTAAAAGAAAAAAGCAGCATTCCGATTAAACGGGCAAAGGGAATAAATGGAAAACACATTTGGTTAAATGGAAAGGCACATTTTGATAATAAACAGAGCTGTATGGGGCACTGTGCATATTGGTTAAATTGCTGTTTCTTGGTTGGTCCACTAGCTGGATCTTTTGCTCCCTGCAGGATTTTTCCCTCTCACTGACGCCAACAGTGACTCATATTCAACATGCTCTCCTGAATTCTAAGCAGTTAGGGAAATGCATTTGCATTAGGTGAGCAGAGTATTTGCAGGCCTTTTATGCTGTTTAGAAACAGACAACTTTCCACTGACTGCAGACACACGAATTGAACTTAATACTTGATTTAATAGGCTGTCAAATGTGGAGCGCAAACACAACATGGCTATTTATCTGAACTTGTGACCGTTAATATATCTGCTAGATGTTTAAGGTCATCAAATCAGAAACTATTAAAGGTTTCCAGACCAAGATTAAAAAGAAAGGGAGACTGGGCTTTATGCTATAGTTGGACCAAATTGTGGAATAGCCTACCTTTTATCTATTAAGATTATCCCTACTGAATCTCTCTTTGAGATAAAACCTAAAATCCACTCTTTAGAAAAGGTTTAGAATATTGGAGTCATCCTGAGCTTGTTTTTCCTCTGTATGTACCATGTCATCGTATGCAGTTTTATTGTTTTGATTGGTGTTTTATTATATTGATTTTACAATTTTTGTACAACACAATGGTCAACAACTGTTGTTTTATTGTGCTATGTAAACAAACTAAACTAAACTAAACATACCTGCTGGAGTTGTGAGAAGATTTCAGGTTTTTAGCCGAGATGATGTTGAGAGACAGGACTGCGTCTGCAGCCGAATCATCCACTTCTGGCTTATTCCTAATTCGACCTACAACAGACACAACAATCGATGCGAGATGGCTGTAGCCTTTATTATATTCTTTATAAAATGGTTATTTCAGGTCCTGGCTTCTCATTGGTCAACAGAACAATCCAGCTTTGCTAACAGCAATTATTTCTTCCATTTAAGATTTTAGGACAAAATTTATACTCACCAACCACCAGCTCTCTGACGTCCTTCCAGTGCAGCTCACAGCCGTTCTCATGGATCAGAGTGACTGTTATTCTACGCTGAATGCCCTGAAAACAAACAACACAGGTTACTAAAAGCAATCTCAATTTGAATCATTTATATGTCCTTGGCTAAGGACAGTGAACATGATCCTTAAGCTAAACTACAGATTTACAGACAGCAACTGCAGAGACAGAACAACATGATGCACAAGACTAAAGTGCATTGCAATGCACAGATCTATGGAAATGTAATGCATTGATAACATAATTTAATATTCAATTATAAGTCAATATATTATGCACCGTTTTTTAAACATTTTTCTAGTCTATTGCATGTTTCCAGTACATTATATTTGTATGTACAGCATATTTTTGAATATATACACTACCAGTCAAATGCTTTTGAACAGTAAGATTTTTCATGTTTTTTAAAGAATCCTCTTCTGCTCACCAAGCCTGCATTAATTTGATCCAATATTTTTACTATTTAAAATGCTTTAAATTGACCAAAAGTGATAAAGACATTTGTAATGTTACAAAAGATTTCTATTTCAGAGAAATCGAAATGATATTCATCAAAGAAACCTGAAAAAATGATACTCAGCTGTTTTCAAAATAATAATAATAATAATAATAATAATAAATGTTTTTTGAGCAGCAAATCAGAATATTAGAATGATTTCTGAAGGATCGTGCGACAGGAGTGATGATGCTAAAAATTCAGCTTTGAAATCACAGGAATAAACAACATTTTCAAATATATTCAAATAGAAAACAGTTATTTTAAATAGTAAAAATATTGCAAAATTTTACTGTTTTTGCTGTGGATCAAATAAATGCAGGCTTGGTGAGTAGAAGAGAATTCTTTAAAAAACATTAAAAATCTTACTGTTCAAAAACTTTTGACTGATAGTGTATAAATATAAGTAGGT